ACACTCAACTAGAACTGCATCCAGATTCAAAAGTCTATACGACAATAAACACACATAAAGGACTCTACCAATATGAAAGACTATGTTTTGGCATATCATCTAGCCCTGGAATTTTCCAGGCTGTCATTGACAGTATTTTTAAGGATATTCCAAATGTTTGTGTTTACTTTGACAATGTGTACATAACTGGTAAGAATGACACGGAACATCTTAAAACACTTGATAAAGTCTTGAAAATAGTTGGTGAAAAGGGTTTAAAGATAAAAAAGATAAATGTCAATTCATGCTGACAGAAATTAGTTTTCTTGGTTATATTTTGAGCAAGCAAGGTCTCAGACCTCAACCAGAGAAAACAAAAGCCATTAAAGAAGCACCCAAACCTGAAAATACCCAACAACTAAGAGCTTTTTTGGGCTTAATAAATTACTATGCGAAGTTCATCGGGAATGTGTCTGGTAAACTATCACCACTGTATAAGCTGCTGCAGAAAAATGCAACTTGGCACTGGGGTAAACAACAAGATGCTGCTTTTAATGCAGCAAAAGAAGCTTTGTCTTCTGACACCTTACTAACTCACTATGACCCAGGGAAAAGACTTATCTTAACATGTGATGCTTCACCAGATGGTGTAGGAGCAGTTTTATCCCACATAGATGAAAATGGTGACAGACCCATTGCTTTTGCCAGTAGATCTTTGAACCAGGCTGAGAAAAATTATTCTCAGTTAGATAGGGAAGGCTTAGGCATCATTTTTGGTGTTAAGAAATTTCATAAGTTTCTGTTTGGTAGAAAGTTCACCATCTTTACAGATCATAAACCATTGCTAGGTTTATTTGGGGAAAACAAACCCCTACCTGAGCATGCCTCACCAAGAATTCAAAGATGGGCTATCACACTAACTGCATACAATTATGAATTGAAATACAAACCTGGATCTGAGAATAGTGCAGATAGTTTTAGTCGTTTACCTTTAAAAAACCAAAGCCTTAGTTATGTACCAGAAGATGTATTTGTTCTTTTCACTATCATGGATAACTCCAATATAAATGTGAATGATGTCAAGAGAGAAACACAAAAAGATGAGTGCTTGATAAAAGTATATGAGTACTGTAAGAATGGTTGGCCTGAAGAGTCAGTGAATGATGACTTAAGGCCATATAAAATAAGAAAAACAGAGTTAAGTCTAGAAGATGGATGTGTACTATGGGCGTCAAGGGTCATTATCCCTAAAATTTTACAAAAAGAAGTTTTAAGAACTTTACATGATACTCATCTTGGTTCTTCCAAAATGAAGAGTCTTGCACGGTCGTGGTTCTGGTGGCCACATATGGATGCTGATATTGAAAAATATGTAAAGCTTTGTTCAAGCTGTGCACAACTCCTCATATAACAACAGGTGTTGCACCATGTGAATTGCTATGTGGTAGGAAAATTAAAACTCATCTTGACCTACTACATCCAACTGTTCAAAGGTCTGTTTCCCAACATCAACATACACAAAAAGTAAATCATGACAAAACATCCATTGAAAGAGAATTTGGAGTAAATGATGATGTGTATCTGAGAAATTATGGGAGAGGGGAAAAATGGATGCCAGATCAAATTGTTCAATGTACAGGACCTGTGTCTTATAAATTAAAAACAAATGATGGACTTATTGTCCGTAGACATGCAGACCAGTTAAAAATAACTTGTGCAGATAATAAGTGTGAATCTGTCAATCCCACCAAATCTGAACAGTTCACACCAACTCAGTTGTTCCACAACCAAGTTCTGTTGATATGAGTGAACCAAGTGGTCTAGAGTCAGAAAATGTAAATTCTGGAATTAATGATTTAGATCCTAGACCTCCTGAGATAGAGAATCCAGATGGTCAGAATCTTGAGTCACCAAATCAAAAGCCACTGAGAAGGTCAAGCAGGACAATCAAAGTCCCAAATAAGTTAGACCTATGATTTTAAAGGTCAAAAGGACTTGGTTGGTTGTTAACTAGTCTTTAATTCAGCTACATGATGGAAACAGGAAGAGGAAGTGACGAGACATAAACATATATATATACAAGGGACATCACTCAAGATAACATTATAAATATAATACTAATACAAGAAGAGTGAGTTCCCTTGACTTCACAATTCTCAATATATTACACGCCCCCTCCCAGAAAATTCTACCCCCGCCCCCGAAAATTTCAAGTACCCCCACCCCTCTCCGGGGAGGAAAAAGTCTGAAAGAAACACTATTCGCATTTGTAGATCATACAAACTAAAAGAAGAATCTGGGCGGGGCTTCGCCCCTACCGGAAGAGAGGAAAAAGTCTGAAAGAAACACTGGTGTCGCGCTTAGCCACTACCCGAAGGATTGCATTAAAGAAATTGCAAGAAAACCACTTTTTAGATTAGACACATTAATTAGGCAGTAATTTTATTATAGAGTATCGATGAAGAAATTTCTTTTGAATTGGGGAGGGGGGGGCTCAGACGTTCTTACGCGGGGGTGGGGCTTCGCCCCTACCCGAAGAATTGTATGAAAGAAACTCTTCACGCAAACCATTTAGATTAGACAAAATTGCCTTTTTATTCAATGTTTACTCGAGAATCAATGACGTCATATTACTGTGTGCACTCTCCGGCTTGAGATTATTTTTTACTATATGACGTCATACTTCGTTTTCGTCTGACTGTGCATGTTTTTAATTTGCTTGTGTTTTCTCTAGAGCGTTCTTGTCAGATACATAGACAGATAGATAGATAGATAGATAGATAGATAGATAGATAGATAGATAGATAGATAGATAGATAGATAGATAGATAGATAGATAGATAGATAGATAGATAGATAGATAGATAGATAGATAGATAGATAGATAGATAGATAGATAGATAGATAGATAGATAGATAGATAGATAGATAGATAGATAGATAGATAGATAGATAGATAGATAGATAGATAGATAGATAGATAGATAGATAGATAGATAGATAGATAGATAGATAGATAGATAGATAGATAGATAGATAGATAGATAGATAGATAGATAGATAGATAGATAGATAGATAGATAGATAGATAGATAGATAGATAGATAGATAGATAGATAGATAGATAGATAGATAGATAGATAGATAGATAGATAGATAGATAGATAGATAGATAGATAGATAGATAGATAGATAGATAGATAGATAGATAGATAGACAGACAGCGAAACTATTATTATAGATATACATTAACTATGAAGTTAAATATACAGAAAAGAATTAACTAGATCCAAGATAGGCTATTATTTTTTAGTGATAAGATTCGCCAGAAACCCACATACTAACGAACAAAGAAAGTGAGACTGAACAAAATAAAAGCTTAAAAATATCATAAAAAACGTTAGTATCTATTGGATACCTTAACTAGTGTTTAGGAAGAGACCCACGCTTTTCTTTATAGTTATTTAAATAGTAGTCTATAATTTATTTTCTACTTTTTAGTGCATAAGTGCATAAAAGCTTGTTATTAAAACGTTTTTTATGAAATTTGTTAGTACTTTACATGTTTTTATTTACAATAGAGTTTCATGACTAAAAACCATTGCGCGCATATTGAACGTGATGACGCGCTATTGAACGTGATGACGCGTGTGGTGTGTTTGGATAGAAATGCCTACTAATTTGGTCAAAATGTTAATTAATTCATAAAAAAATAATTGGGCATCCAATTAACGTTAATTAAGTCAAATTTAATTTCAGATTGCACTGTCTTCATGTCTTGACCCATGTACCAACTAAGAACCGTATCTGTCAAGTAGAAGTGCCTGTAATTTCGCTCCGGCGTTTCGATCTAGACTGACGACAGAGGAAGTGAGTTAAATAAAAGCGTGTAATAAAAGCTTGTTATTAAAATGTTTTTTATGAAAAAAAAAGCTTGTTATTAAAACGTTTTTATGAAAAAAAATTCTAAGCATATAAGCTAAAATATTATTTGACATTGATCCGTTTGATATGTTTTAGCAATGTGAATGTATTTAATATTTTCTTTACGTTCTGTTGTTGATGTATGCAAAAGAGTACAATTTTGCCGAGCAGCAAAAAATTTAAGTTGTTATATAAAAAATTAATAATGATAAGTCAATACGATGCAAGTAAAGCCACGGCATGTGGTATTTTATAAAGACACGATGGGCAACAATTATCGTGCAGGGTGCGATTCGGCGCCCTGCGCTATCCTGTTAGCAGGCGAAGCCCCCCCCGAAGAGATGCCTGGAAGAAACTCTGCCCACTACAAATCAATATCTTCAATTTTAGTTGAAAAACATTTCAGTGTCATTGAAATTTAAGTACTTTATTCGAGATGAAGTGGAGTTAACTTGTCTCTGTGGCCTCGTCACATAGGTAAATGTAGTCAGTACTAACCTAGCCGACTCCTGTCGGGTCTCTGCAGAGGCGTAGCGAGTGGAGGACGGCTGGGGCGGCCGCCCCGGGCGCCTACCATAAGGGGGGCGCCAAACCGGGTAGAACAAATTATTAAAAGCTCATTCTAAGCAGCATTACTGAATTATTCACAGTCGAGGTTAAGACATTAGACTGCTAACTGGCTTTACGGACTTATTTTCTACATCGAATGTGTGACACCATAATAAAAAGGGACTGGTAAAAAGTGCCCCAACCTTTTCAATTTAAAGTTAAAGGGGGGGGGACGTTTTTTCAACAACGTAAATATTTAGGCCCTATGTGTAAATGGAGAGGGGGAGGGGTGAAACACTGATAGTTCGCCCCGGGCACCGTAACGGATCGGTCTCTGTCTCGGTATTTAGCTAGTGACTCTCTATGTCATATGAAAATACATTTAATTTTCATATTGATTAAATAACTTATGAATTTAAACAATTTTTATTTGTTTACGAAGGCAATACTTAAAAAAAAATGTTTACAACTTATTTTTATTTCGTTGCGTTTAATTTCGTGTTTCTAAATAGGCTAGTTTTCAGCGGAAGTTGAATTACTTGCTTCCTTTTTCAATATATCCGGCCGAGGTAAGAGACGTATTTTATTTTCTTAGAATGTGCTGAATCTCAATCTCCTTGCATCTCTTAAATCGTATGTATTTTTGATGTGTTTCAATTTGAAATGATTCACTATTTTGAATACATTGTTGCTTTTTAATCGTAAATTATAAGATTGTTATATTTAGTCGAGATTTTTTTTCTTCTAGGTACCCTGTAGTTTTAATGTTATATTTAGGGCCTAGATCTAGATAAAGTGTTGCTTTTTTAAAAGTTAGACAAAAGCCTAAAATTTAAATATCCTCTTAAGTGTAGGTAATGTTTAATAGGCATACGCATTTTTTTCTTACAGAAAATGGGCCGAGTTATTCGATCCCAAAGAAAGGGCCCAGGGTCAGTCTTTAAGGCCCATACTAAAAACCGAAAGGGAAAAGCATCCCTGATGAAAGGCATGGTTATATTAAAGGTGTTATTCGTGTAAGTTTTATTTTTACATCTACTAAATCAACACGGCAAACTTCATTAACATAATTATTAAGGCAGGGTAATCCTCACAAAACAACTGTTCTGTTCTGTTTCTCACATTGCTCTTTCTAAAATGCTATAAGTATAATGTGACATCACAATATCTGAACCCCTGCATCACTCAACCCTTAGCACCACGCAGGCCTATAAATTTTAAATGTATAAAACTGTTGGCTTACTTGACTTGTTTTTCAGGACATTGTGCATGATCCAGGCCGTGGAGCACCTCTAGCTAAAGTTCAATTTCGTGATCCTTATAAATATCGAATGATCACTGAGACTTTTATTGCTGCAGAAGGAATGCATACTGGCCAATTCATTTATTGTGGGAAAAAAGGTGTGAGCTGTTTTTTTATTACGATGTGACTACTTAGAAGCGATTTTGTCTAAATTAAAAAAAATCTTCGGAAGTCATGCATCTGGTCCGTACGCCATATTGTTGTTAGCAACCGGCCACGCCTCCGGGTTAGCGAGAAATACTGATAGACATCCATATTTAATCAAGGCACTAATTTTGAAGTTTTTATTTTGTTTTAAACTAAATTAATTTAATATTTATTGTCACTCACTGCCATGTACGACACACCTCCATGACAACCCCCATTTTGTTTGAAGCTACAGAAAGCCATGAGTCCGGTTTGACTATGCGCAAGAGTTCTCTCTAGTGGTCACATGGTTGTTTTTTTTTTTTTCAAAATGTGCTTCTCATTTTTCTGGCTGGTCTTTTAAAAAAACTGGCTGACGATGTGGAAATCAATTTTGTAATATTGAAATGTCTATTTAAAAAGACAGACTTTTGAATTTAGCCTTCATTCTCCAAAGCAAATTTTAAAATGCTTTTCTGGCATATTGACCTGCCATCTATAGAATGTTTTTATAATGTAAAAACCCGCCATTTTGCTCGTGGTAAATATTTTTAAAGGTAATTCTTAGGTCTCTAGGGCTAAGATGAAAAATAGTCAAAATCATGGATCCGGTCCGTATGCCATATTGCTGTTTGCAACCAGCCACGCTTCCGGGGTAGTGAGCAATACTACTAATAATGAAGCCAAATACTACTGCTTAATGTTGGAATGAGATCTGGCTTTCCAACAGTATTGAATCTATATATATTTATAATTCTCTTCATGGACAACCATAGAGAACACCACGCAGCTTAGCCACCACCCTCATTCCCACCTGTCAGGTGAGCTGTGGTTCACCCAGAATGTTTTAGAGAGTAGAGCCGGGTTAGCAACGGCTATTAGGGGCAGATTATTTAGTATTGAACTATTTGAAACGAAGAGGAGGTAACAATTTTTGATTGATCTTTTCTTTGTCTGTAAACGCCTACTTTCCCTTGGCGGGAGGGAGTAGTGTTGAATTCACAATTTATCTATTGTTGAAAAGCAGAAAATAAAACAACCAGACGGCGGTGTGTACGTCGCGGGTCAGCTTGTAGAATATATTCGGTAGAAGTACAGCATTATAATTAAAAATATCAGAGAAAATCCTAATTAGGTCATTTTGGGTAAACATTATTTTTGTCTTAACAACAATGCATTATATTTAACAGTTGAACATCAATTTATGTTTAAGTTATATCATTTGTAAAATACATGCCTAGAGGTTTTTTATTTTAATTTTGAATCAACTGAAAATATAATAGATGTCTAAAATTTCAGGGTGGAAAGAGACTAATATTTTGTAGTATATTACAAAATTGCCATTGAAATTAGTAAGCTGGAAAAGGATGCTGAGACTATCCAGCTTCCTGTTTAGTTATGGAAACAAATTAATTACCATGCATGTTGTAAGCGGGCGTGACGGGCTATCGTGGGTACAGGGCATCTTGGGTAATTTATGTTCAACCAATAAACAATTAATTTGCTCACGTTTTTGTTATAGCAGATAGGTTTTAACAATAGATTTTTTATATTTAATAACAATAGATTTTTTATATTTAATATATTAAAGCTTTCTTAAAATGCTTGTTCAACAGCTTCTTTGCAGATTGGGAACATTCTACCTGTTGGAATGATGCCTGAAGGTACCATTGTTTGCTGTTTGGAAGAAAAATCAGGTGATCGTGGTAAACTTGCTCGTACATCTGGCAACTATGCTACAGTTATCTCCCACAACCCTGAGACAAAAAAGACTAGAGTAAAGCTGCCTTCTGGATCCAAGAAGGTTGTGTTTTCAGCCAACAGAGCCATGATAGGTTTGTATTCTCTAGCTTTTTAATAAGTTAGATTTCTATAGTTGAAAATTATATATTGCAGGTTTTTGCCTATATGTTTTTTAATGCTGATCTAACCACAGGCTAGTCAACTGACTCTTACCATTTTACTGTCGGTGTTACTTCTGTGGTACATTATCTTTGGCCAATGTTTCAAGAGTAAGGTGTCGTTTTGATGCTTAGCTCTTATTTACACGGTCTGAAGTTGCCCTTGAGAGTAGCCCTGAAGATACTTTTTTGGGCTTAGTATTTTGGGCGAACATTTGTTTACTGCATCATACTGGTAGATAACTTTTCGATGCAGAATCTGAATTTTGGACTTACATTAAAAATAAACATCAGATAATAGAAGCATAATCAGTCAACAATTTAAACTGTCCAGCCACTAATTATATACAAATATTATTTGCATGCTTATTAGCTTATTCTGCCATCACCAGACTTTAAAATCTTAATGGATTAGGCTTGTGAATTGTAATTTGTCTTTTGAACTAGGTATTGTGGCTGGTGGTGGTAGAATTGACAAGCCAATCCTGAAGGCTGGTCGAGCCTATCACAAGTACAAGGCTAAGAGAAACTGCTGGCCTAAAGTCAGGGGTGTTGCTATGAATGTAAGTGTTCAATATATTTTTTTTCTCCATTTTTTCTTTACAAGTAGCCTATATTAGGCTACTTAACAAGAGCAGACCTAAATTAATACATTAGATTATTATTCTTTAGAGTAATTAACCTTCACTATTATGCAACACCATTTTAATAATAGTTTAATTGAAAACATAAGCAATCAGATCATGACCAGATTAAATGAGCAGTGGAGCCAGTTTTCCAGTTTCGAGAATCATATTTTTTTCCAGATCTAGATTCTAGAATGTTTAGATCTAGAAAAGTCTAGATCTAGAAAAGTCTAGATCTAATCTAGATCGATGTACAAATTATTTAAATTTACATACAAAGTACTGTTGAAAAGCGACTTTGTATGAATTATTCAAGTTAAGCTTTCTAACCATACCATTTTTATTAGTATATGCTTATTTTTATGGGAGAATTTTGTGATGGAATCTAGTGAAAAGGTAAAGAAAATGAGCAGAAACCTATTTTCTGCAGTTTAAAGTACCTATTTGGTGCCAATGATGAAGCTATTGAATTCTGATTCTCATTGAAGAAACTGCATGGCTTAGCTGATGGCACTTTAATTTTGTTATGGCAACTTAACCTTTTTAACCCCTGATGTTTTTGCAGACGGCCAATTTTTTGTCTTTTGACACTTTTTAATGGGTTTTTATTACAGAAAATTTTTTCCCGTTATAAGAAATTGATTAGATATTTGAAAATTAAATAAAAAGCAATATGCACAAAACTTCTCTGAGTTAGTTATGCATTAAGTTAAATAGCTTAATAGTTTATTAATAAAAATAAAACAGTAACCCCACAAAAACATGCTTATATTATTTCTTTAAAAAAAAAACTGCTAAAATTTCAACACTGTCACTGGATCTTTTCTTTTTCAATAGTTATATTATAAAGTCAAATTCAACAGCGGAGGCATTTTAATTATAATATAATTTCACTTATTATATATACAAATTAAATTGTATCACCCTTTTTTTTAAAAAATTTAATTGTGCATTCCTTTATTTTCGTAAATTAAATACAAAGAACTTTTGATACAGGCGTGATAATTTTTGGTAAATGTTTTTTTTAAGCGAGTAGAAATTACCGATAAGTGTACACTAGAATTCAATGGTTTACCTACACAATTCATGGTAATACATGAATGACCACAAAATCCTGCTTTGAACTTGTGACAGTGCTCTGTGACTTTACGGAAATCTAGATTTTAGCTGGCACTTTTGCGCAGGTCATCATGTTGCGTATGCGTTAGTTTCAATTTCTGCTATCCTATACAGGTGTTAATTAAATTGTTAGTTTTGTGGTAAATTGGATGCCTGTTCTGAATATATAATTTTGCTGGCTGTAACAATTTTTTCTTGTTAAAAAGCATTTTAAAATCTGTTGTTTTTAGCATGAAATATTTTACAGCGTGCAAGGTCATATCGTCTTAAAGGGCGCCCATTCTATTTTCTGTATTAGTTTTTAGTGAATGCTTATGTACTATGGTATCGAATCTCAGAGCGTTGACACAACCTGACCAATTTTTTATTTTGGCTCATTTAGACCTAATTTTACTTTTGTTTTTAGCAATGTATGTTCATTGTTGATGAAAATTTTATATATTGTGAATTTATTTAAAGACCCATTCTACAATTAATATATATTTTATACAGTTGTGCGCCTTTTCTTGGGGTCTGGGGTGGGAGAAATGCAACTGGGCATTTGAGTCTAAACTTTTATTGTGAATACTATACATTTTGTACAAGCTCAATTTTCCTTTCAGCCTGTAGAGCACCCTCATGGTGGTGGTAACCATCAGCACATTGGTAAAGCATCAACTGTTAGACGTGATGCCTCAGCTGGTAAAAAGGTATGTTTGCTTTCAATTGGAATGCATAAGTTCGCCCTTGTGTTGTGATGAGCTAATTTCTTCACTTTGACCTGAAACTCAAAAGTTATTGATGTTGCACAGTTCTGAACTACAATGATTAGTTACAGTAGATCATAGCGGCAGTGTTTTTTTTATTTTAATGTACTATTGTTGTCTTCATAGGTTGGTCTTATTGCTGCACGTCGTACTGGCAAGTTGAGAGGTACCAAGCAAATAGCCAAAGACAAGGAGTAATGTCATGTTTGGATTAATAAAATTTTGCGCTTCATTATTTGGCGTTTGAGTGCATTGTATATGGTAGTGTGTTATGGAACATGTCTGCGCAAGGATGAAAAACTAGTTGCTTGACCTTTTTATTGCACAACTGAGATTTTAAAAACTCCATTTATACTTTGACAAAGCCTTCTGCCTTGACTTGTGAGATTTACAGAAGAAAAAATTGAGTACCATCATGTAAATCAAGAAAGACATCGTAACATCTTAAGTTAAAAATTTTATGTATCTTGCTTATTAGATCAGATTTGATATGTTGAACGCTGTTTCGCTTTTCATGTCATATCACCAAAAAAAAAACATCAGAGAGCAAACTCAATTTTTTTTCCAACCTCAAAAATTACGTGCATTCATTCAGATTGGAAGTGGAAGTAAAAAAATAATTTTATATTTGAAACAGCACCAAAAAGTCTGATTAAAGTTTAAAGATCATGCTTCTTTGGATTTAATGGTTTTTAGTCATGCAACTCTTGTGTAAATAAAACATGTACTAAACAAGTTAATAAAATCTAGTGACAATTTAAGCTCAATTTCCTTATCTAAAAATAGTGATCAAGTTTGTTTTTAAAAAATGTGCAAAAAATGATTAGGCCTAGCGAAACAAAACCTTGTAGTTGTAACTCCCTATCACTCATATAAATTATAAGTAAATTAATAGGGTACAAAACTAATGTTAGACTTAATAAAACAAGTTAATTTTGCGCTAAAAAAAGGCAACTATATTAACCTATATCAACGGAAATAATTTTATTTTAACGAGTAGGCCTACACGATGCTCAGTTTAAACAAGTCGTAAATATCCTAGGCCTACACGATGCTCAGTTTACAAAGGTAGTAAATATATTTTTTTGTGACCGAACGAAAGGATATTTTTGAAAACTTTCTTAGGCAATATTGTTCTAAATTATGGCAGGAATCGATTGGTAAATGTTTCAAGTCGCTAAGTGGTCTGGTTGCCGCGATATGGGCCAAAAACTGCATTTTTTCGAGGTTTTTTGGCTTTTCCGGGAAATCCAGGAAGGAATTCCGGGAATTTTTTTGGCCCACAATTATCCTCGGAACTTGCTTAACATATTTGCTTTTGGAACTAGTCCTCGATATTGCTTCGCTGAGGAGGACCTTAGGGGGGCGCCAAAGTGGGTTGGAAAAAAATTGCGGGGAAGGGAGGTGGAAATCGAAAGTTTGGGGGGGGGGGGGTGTGCAAATCGCAAGTCTGAGGGGGTACAAATGAAAAGTTTGAGCGGGGGGAATTTCAAATCAAAAGTGGTGCCAATCCAAAGTCTGAGGGGTGGGGGGTGCAAAGCAAAAGTTTAAGGTGGCGGAGTGGAAATTGAAATTTTGAGGGGAGGGGTGCACATCGTAAGTTTGAGGGGGGGGGGGGTCAAATCGAAAGTTTGTCCCCGGGCGCCGGAGAGGGTTGCTACGCCATCTGTTTTATAGTCATTCACTGTGTCAAACGCGTCCGTCGGCGCTCGGAAAGAACGCGATTTGGCGCTGCGGGCTAGACTGTGAGCAATATGCCTTTATTATTGCATTTAAATTGTGTTTATGTTATGAGTGTTGTGTTTTTTTTGCGTTTGTGTTTTTTTTTTTGCGTTCGTTTTTTTTGTGTTTAGTTTTGTCCTGTTCCCAAGTTGGTACATTTAAAAAAGATTTACCATGGCGGAGCACGGGATGCAGCTAGTATATATATATATATATATATATATATATATATATATATATATATATATATATATATATATATATATATATATATAGTTTAGATGACGACGCGGGTTCGGGGAGGAGAGATGCCTGGGCAAACGTTCGTAAGAGTGAGAGCGTTTTTGTGAATATCCATGTTCACACCACAGTGTTACCGACACCCGCGCGATGCGCGCTGCGCAGAAGGAATATTCACCCAATGCGGGAACCCGCACCCGCGCGGTTAACTCTGAGGTAATACCCTTATCCCCACCGTGGCGAAGCGCGCAGCGCCATTAACTCTGAGGATACCGACACCCGCGCGCAGCGCATTGCGTTAAAAAATATCCGCCCCAATATCCGCAGCGCGGTAAACTCTGAGGTAATATCCATATCCACACCGTTGCGAAGCACGGGTATAAGCTAGTATATATATATATATATATATATATATATATATATATATATATATATATATATATATATATAATAGGCCTATTTATTATTATAATGCTAGCGCCAGGGCAGCAACCCCAGGCTCTCCTTTAAGCTACGCCACGCCACTGAGAAGTGGGCGACATTTCGCTCGCATGTTTCGAACTATATCTAGATTCTATAACAGATTGTGAAAATACGGTTATAAATTATAGATCTAGATCTAGTATATTATTAGGTTCTAAATCTAGGCCATACAATGTATGATAGGCTACATGGTCTCTATTTGTTGGGTTGATGTGTGTTGTGTTGAGATTCCTAGAACAACAAGGTATTTTTTTGTTTTATCTTTTAGAGAGCTTCACTATGACTAGTACAACAGCCTGTCTTCTTGATTTAGAAATCAAGATCTAACCCTAGCCTATTCATTTAAAAGGCTTTTTTGTTCTTGGTTTACGAGATCTATAGATTCTAGATCTGTTTTTTTTTTGTGTGTGCATATGATAAACGTCTAGATCTAGATCTAGATTCTAAATTTTAATAGAATCTGGTTAATTCTTTTTGGTTTTCGAAATGGCAACACAAATGGAGGTTGATCCACCTTGTGCAGGCGCAGCTGTTATGGCTTCTGCGGGGACCACTGGAAGTGTAACAGTTGCACTTCATCCTCTTGTTATTATGAACATTTCAGAACACTGGACTAGAGTCAAGGCACAGGAAGGCAAACCAACTCAAGGTAGTACATTATCACTAAATTTAGTAAATTGGACGTGTCTATACTAAAAAAACTATACACTATATATACTCAGACTCTAGTTAGAGTAGAGTCTAGAGTTAGAGCTAGCTAGTAAGAGTGAGTCTATTCTAATATCTATTCACTCTATTCAATAGAGTCTATTGAATAGAGTCTATTCAGGCCTGACTACCCCTCCTCCACAAGAGATGCCTGATTTACAATTTTCTTAATCATCACTTATGAGGATGATGTTCTTAAAACTATGGTTTTTAAACAGCACATCACACCAGCCCCCATCTACACACTACACAAAGTACATGGGGTGTCCATAAATAGCCATAAATGACATCACACTCCAAGGCTTTTATAGATCAACCCTTGAATCCTTGGCAGTACTAGATCTAGCCCCCATTCCATGGCCCCAACCAACCAGCCGTGTTGTATTGAGTTAATAAAATCAAAACAATATGCCCCTAACACTGCGTTTACACTTACAACATGTATACTATAATACATTTCTAGAACACAAAGCCCACCAAAAGTTATTTTTATCTGGAACAATTTTCTCCACAGAACATGTATACTTAAGCGTTCACACTTACAGAACATGTTATAGAACATTTTATAAAACAAGCATGACCTTTGACCCGGAGCGTCTGCTATATAGGCCGAGATAATTAAAATAAAGAGTAATCAAAGTAAAAAAAAAACCTAGATAGTGGGCACAGAGCTTTATTTTTTTAAAAAGGAAAATGGTGTAGCCACGGTGCTTGCGATTCAACAATGAATTATCTAAAAATTAGAGAACATGCAACATTTTATACATTTATTGGAGTGCCAGCTACTGGAACTAGACAGTTTATATAAATATAATATTGTGTATAATACCAACGCAGTGTGATATGAACATTTAAATAGGTCAGGCCACATACCAGACATGCATAGTGTTGTGTGTAGTGCCTTAACCAAAATTAATCTCCCTTCATGATCATTAACAATATTTAAATATTTAGCTAATGGAGACAACCGAGTTGGCGAGAATCCTTCCATCATATGGATTAAAAACATGCTCATTTAGATTTTGCAATTAAAATGACTGTAAAAATAATAAAAAAATAGAAAACTTAAGCCTAAAAGTAATTCAGAAATTTTATATTTTTAGAATCAATGTTATGAAAGTTGCAAATCCAGATAACTTGAAAATACTTTTTTGAGTTTAAGGCTACTTTCTATTTATTTTCATCAAGCCTAAGTTATAACTCGAAGTTTCACTTTCGTAAGACAAATCTTGATTGGTTGTACAGGAGCTCTGAATTCGATACTCTCAAAATGCCACTTCATACAAAATCAGGCCTGACTGATAGGTATAATGTCCTACTGCAGTTGTTTGGGCGGGCGTTATGTACTGAGAGTAATTGATTAGGGGAGATAATGACGATGCCTGGGGTTAATTAACGGGTTGTTAAAGTAAATTTTCCAACACGTTCTTAATCCCCCATCCCTTTCAGCTAGTCACACATCCTAACACTTATTCCAGCACAAACTTCAATCAACCCAGAGCTAATATGCACATTTACTTGAGTAACTAACATATATTGTGAACACACCAACTAGTATAATAGCCACAAATAATCTATATATATTATTCTCTTCTTGGAGACCCTAGAAAACACCAAGCTGTAAGCTAGCCTCCTAGCAGCCCCCCTCTCTTCCTCTCTAGGCATATCGCTACCACACCCACCCCCGCATGGTCTGGTGAGCTGTGGTTCACACTAAATGTTTACAATCGTAGAGCCGGGTTCAGTGACGGCTAAAAAAAGTAGTGAGCTTTGTAGTGTAAGATTGGGAAAAAAATTATTACTTTTTAATTAATTGGGTCTTAAAAATTAAATTTTAAACACATTTTTTTCACATTAAAGTTATTATTTTCTTATTACAAAAACGGACAAAGTATCTAAAAGTGCAAAAAACCCATTATGATGAAAAAAAAAATCAGGATTTTGATTTCCTTAAATAATGCAAAGACTAATGTAATCTGTTTCTTATTTCCAAAGTGCTGGGTGCCCTGATTGGTCAACAAAAAGGAAGAAAAATTGAAGTGATGAATTCTATAGAACTTGTGTTTGATGTTGTTTGTGATGATGTCATCATCGACATGGAGTATTATAATTTAAAAGAGGGACATTGTAAGGCCCATTTCAGTTCTCTATTGATACAACCTTGAACTTGACCAGATAACACTGCCATCTAACATCTTATTTGACTTAAATGGTACATTTCTTGACAGACTCATCCCAGTATATTTGTATTAGACGTGATGGACAAACAGACAAACAACAGATTTATTATAAATTTATTTTTAGATAAACAAGTGTTTAGTGAGATAATTATTTCAAGCAAGTAAGTGTTTAGTGAGATAAATATTTTCAGATAAACAAGTGTTTAGTGAGATAAATATTTTCAGATAAACAAGTGTTTAGTGAGATAAATATTTTCAGATAAACAAGTGTTTAGTGAGATAAATATTTTCAGATAAACAAGTGTTTAGTGAGATATTTTCAGATAAACAAGTGTTTAGTGAGATAAATATTTTCAGATAAACAAGTGTTTAGTGAGATGGACTTTTTGGGCTGGTACTCCACTGGTGATGGTCCCACAGAGTCAGACATCAAAATACATAAGCAGGTGAGGTGGGGGAGGGGGGTATTATTGACATAGGCAGGTGGGGGTGTCTCCTACATAGGCAGATGAGATGGGTGTTATGGTATCCCACATTAAGAGGTTTAGTGGGGGGGAGGGGGGGGGGGGGAAGTGGCGATTAATTAACTAATCAAGTGATTTTTGGTCACTACTAATTTAAATATAATTTTCAGTTTTTTACCATCAATGAAAGCCCAGTTTTTCTGCAGTTAAATCCTCAAGCAAGGACTTCAGACGTAAGTGTAAACTAGTTTTTGTTTATTGAGTAGCTCCAGATTTTTAGTGCAAATTTTGCTTATGATCAAAGTCATCCATTAATGGATAGCCAGAGCCAAACTTTTGTTCACTTCTGTGAGTGATGCAGGTGGAGGGGAGGGGGAGGGGGGGATCAGGTCCATGTGGATGTAACAATATACAGATGTAAGATTTCTGCTTTATAGAGAAATTAGCTTTTTCTGTTTCCAGGAAAAACCCTGGTATTTTCACAACAAAATTTGGTAAACTTCTCAGCTGATGCACATTTTCAATTGTGCCTTGATAAAAATAGAAAGAAATAGGCAAATGAATTAGCAGGACTAATTTATTGTGCCGAGACATGCACAGCTAGCATTAAACCAATCTTATTTCACTTGATGGCCACTCACTGATGGCTATGAGTACTGTAGCTAATCCAGTTGACTATTAGAGTATTGTCTCATTAATACTTTTTCTATGGGCGATATTTAAATACCTCATATTAAAGTTGTTACTCAAGTACCTGTAGTATGCATTGCTGCAATCTCAGAAGAAATTAATGGACACTCATTAAGATAACATTTAGACACTCATGATAACATTCAATTGTTACTGATGATGTATTTTTAGGCGTGACTGTGAGCTAATTTTGTGTGGAGTGCTCTCAGGACACCACACCAGAGTGGCCAAACTTTTTATAAGGGTTACATCAGCAGGTTACCAATCCTGTATTTTCAGATGTGTGACCTAGTTTTCTTGAACTTTATTGTCCACACTACCTCCCAGATGACTGATGGTGTCCTGTATGAAAATCTTGAGTGTATGTTGTTCACCCTCTGTAATACTGAAGAAGAAAACTCGTCTTTGACTGTTTAGGTGTCAGAGGCATTTTGGGGCACTATCTTCAACCACTGTTGCTCTATTACAGGGGCGCTGGGTGTGGACAGTGGGTCAATATATTCATTAAATTTTGTAGCCCACTGTATCCCTATTGTAGGGTGCTCTTTAAAATGAATGTAGGCACCATATTGCTCATTGGGGAGCCCTGGGTATTCCAGATCACTCTACTGCTCTGGCTCATGTACCTGGTGTGGTTTTACAGTTGAAAAAATGAGTAGCACTGAACCCTGTGCAGGATAATCAATCATCAGCTTTAAGATAGCCGTTGGGTATCTCTGGGCATCCAATAAATTTTTTAAATTCAAAAACTTATGCAGGTTTTTTTCGCATTAACTCCCTTGACAGTCTTATGAAAGATGTATCAATGCATAGAGGCACATACACAGACACCCATAGATACAGATACTTTCCTTTTTACAAGCTTATACTAAACTTGCATTCTCTGTCTGTCACGCTTTTTCTTTATGAATGGAAATTTGGACCACTTCTAACCAACCAATTTCTCTGAAACTTGACCCGATGACATTGCCGCCATCTAACATCAAATTTGACTTAACTGGATGCTTAATTAATTTTTAAAGAATGAATTAAAATTTCCTGTATAAAGTACTATTACAGCTCTATTATATGCACATTTTTGTGTTCATTTAATGCCAAATTGTTTAAAAATATTAGACATTTAAAGTGCTGAAAAAAATGCATAAAAACATTTTAATGACAAGCTTGTATGTAATTATAGTAATAATGCACTAAAAAAGAGAAAATAAATGATTTTCTGTAAATTTATTATTAAACTATTTTAATTACTATAAAGAAAAGCGTGAATTGCTTCTTAAATAGTAAAGATATTCATACATAATAAAGCAACCCACACTTTTCTTTGTAAAAGTAAAAAATTCTCTTTAGACCTAGCAGTCCATTGGGTAGATGAAGTAGCGTTCATGTTTTTTGACCTTAGCATATGAAGGGAAAATGTGGTTAGCACTTTGCCCAGCCGTCTTTACTTTCCCTAAATGAGTTACCCATCGGATTCAAACTCAAGACTTTCAGGTTACCAGACTGCACCTTCCGCTTAAGCAATTATTTAAATAGTAGCTCATTATTGTCTTATATTCAAAGAAAACCATTTATTTTCTCTATTTTTGTGCATTATTACATAAAAGCTTGTTTTAAAATTATTTTTATGTATTTTAAAAAACATAATTAGATTTGGAGCCGTGCTTTTATGTTAAAAACAAAAACATTGTCTTAGGTTTTTGACAGTCAATATCATTTTGATGCTGGTAACATTATTATAATGTGTAAAAATTAACATCTGATTTTTAAGTTGAAATGACATAAACAATCATTTAAAAAAAATTGCTAATCAAAACATGTAACTTTTCTAAACACATTGTAGTTCCTTCTCAAATAAATATTTAATAATGGACATTTAATAATATTTTTATCTGGACAGTATTAAGTGATGAGACATTGATATTTGTTTTTATTTCAGTTGCCAATATCTATGTATGAATCTGTTATAGATCTTGTGAGAGGGGAGGTAAGTCTCTTTACTAATTATTCTAATCTAAATTTTTCTACTTCTCATTGGTGTGGAATTATGGTTTTTTTTTCACTGAATCATCTAACTAGGCCACTGTTTTATTTGTTGACATCCCATACACTCTTGCTACTGAAGAGGCGGAGAGGATTGGAGTGGACCATGTCGCTAGGATGTCAACAGCTGATACTGGAGATTCTTCCACAGGTTCAAGATGTGGTCTAGTTGTGTGGTGTGGTCTAGTTGTGTGGTGTGGTCTAGTTGTGTGGTGTGGTCTAGTTGTGTGGTGTGGTCTAGTTGTGTGGTGTGGTCTAGTTGTTTGATGTGGTCTAGTTGTGCGGTGTGGTCTAGTTGTGCGGTGTGGTCTAGTTGTGTGGTGTGGTCTAGTTGTGTGGTGTGGTCTAGTTGTGTGGTGTGGTCTAGTTGTGTGGTGTGGTCTAGTAGTGTGGTGTGCTCTAGTTGTGTGGTGTGGTCTAGTTGTGTGGTGTGGTCTAGTTGTGTGGTGTGGTCTAGTTGTGTGGTGTGGTCTAGTTGTGTGGTGTGCTCTAGTTGTGTGGTGTGGTCTAGTTGTGTGGTGTGGTCTAGTTGTGTGGTGTGGTCTAGTTGTGTATCCTAGTCTGTAGAAATGTGTCACTCATCTTTAATCTTTGGATTTTCTTTTCAGCTGAACATTTAGTTGCCCAACACAGTTCCATTAAAATGTTGCACAACCGAATCAAGATTATTCTAGCTTACATCCAGGCAGCTCAGAAAGGTAACTTGCTCTAGCTTACATCCAGGTGGCCCAGAAAGATAACTTGCTTTAGCTTACATCCAGGTGGCCCAGACAGATAACTTGCTCTAGCTTACATCCAGGTGGCCCAGAAAGATAACTTGTTCTAGCTTACATCCAGGTGGCCCAGAAAGATAACTTGTTCTAGCTTACATCCAGGTGGCCCAGAAAGATAACTTGCTTTAGCTTACATCCAGGTGGCCCAGAAAGATAACTTGCTTTAGCTTACATCCAGGTGGCCCAGAAAGATAACTTGCTTTAGCTTACATCCAGGTGGCCCAGAAAGATAACTTGCTCTAGCTTACATCCAGGTGGCCCAGAAAGATAACTTGCTCTAGCTTACATCCAGGTGGCCCAGAAAGATAACTTGTTCTAGCTTACATCCAGGTGGCCCAGACAGATAACTTGCTCTAGCTTACATCCAGGTGGCCCAGAAAGATAACTTGCTCTAGCTTACATCCAGGTGGCCCAGAAAGATAACTTGTTCTAGCTTACATCCAGGTGGCCCAGAAAGATAACTTGCTTTAGCTTACATCCAGGTGGCCCAGAAAGATAACTTGCTTTAGCTTACATCCAGGTGGCCCAGAAAGATAACTTGCTTTAGCTTACATCCAGGTGGCCCAGAAAGATAACTTGCTCTAGCTTACATCCAGGTGGCCCAGAAAGATAACTTGTTCTAGCTTACATCCAGGTGGCCCAGAAAGATAACTTGCTTTAGCTTTCATCCTGGTGGCCCAGAAAGATAACTTGCTTTAGCTTACATCCAGGTGGCCCAGAAAGATAACTTGCTCTAGACCCATAAAAAGTGTGATTTGAATTTCTTTCAGGCGAGGTGACAAAAAACTTGGATCTCCTGCGGGAAGCTTACAGTTTGTCTTACAGGTTGCCTGTACTCAATTCAAAAAGATTTCAAGAAGACTATTATACCGTAAGTCAAGCCAGTTGCCACTTGTCAGTGCTCAGTGGGGGGGGGGGGGGGGGGGGGGGGAAGGAGAGGAGAATAATAATAGGGGAACTGGAAAGTAGTTGATTACAGTGTAAATGTAATTTTTCTTGCAGCAATGTAATGATGTTTGTTTGATGGCCTACCTGGGGGCTATGACCAAAGGGAGTAACACAATGCATCAGGTGAACATTTTAGTATCAAAATCTGAAGCTGGCCAGCAGAGCTTTAGTTGGTAGTATTGTTAGAGCAGAAGAAAACAAAACGAGCTTGGTGTACTTGTGATAAATGCTTGATCTTTCATTTCAGTTTTTGAACAAGTTTAATGTGCTCTATGATAAGGGCATGGGACGAAGAATGCGAGGACTCTTCTTTTAGAAAACTACTTGTAATTTTTGTTTATCAAGATAAAGTGTGAACGCTGCCCGAATTTACTCTAGTTTGTATTGGGCTAGTTGATTCATATTGTTTGTATTTTCATATAATGGTTGCAACAAAATCACAGCGATTAAATTTCCATTTGAAATAAATTGTTTTCTGTGTGAGAATCTGTTACTGTATTCAAAGTGTAGCCAGCTCCCTGAACCTTTTACACACCTACACTACCCCCTTGACCTCACCCATAAAACCCACACACATTTTCCAACACTACTGCCTCTTAAACATTTCCCTAACACCCAAAACTTTTCTTACTATAATTGTCTGCCAGGGAAGTAGCAGAGAAGAAATACCTTATTTATTGTTGTCCAGAACAGAAGAGTTATCGGAAATGTATAACATGATAAAAATATTTTTTGTGTTTGGTTGCAACATTTGAATGGGTTTTATTAAGCCATTTGTTTAAGTTTGACATTGCCTGTAAATTGTCAGACTTTGGGGCTAATAATTAAAAAGGTTTTTGTGTTGTTGAAGAGCACATTTATTGTTAGCATGTTTCAGCTCAGATTTCTGCTACAAAGGTAATTACCATTGAAAGAAGTCTGTCAAAATTGTTCTAAAAGACAGTCATTTAAAATTAGCTTCAACTTTAAACAAAAATTCCATTATACGTTATTAAATTGGAATATTTTGTTTAAAATATTCGTTAGATAACAGGTCTGTTGCACTACAAGACCCATCACTCCCAACCCTCAACCAGCTATTTTATGTAAATATCTACCTATTGCACCAAGTGACTTTAAGCTTCTTCCATTCCAATACACCCGTCCCTCCTCAAACATGTCTTGCCTAAATTTCAGCTGATCACCTCCTAGTGCAATCTTTGATATTTTTAAACTATTTACCATTTAATACAATGTTTAAATGAAATGAACATATAAATCATTTTATGAATGAACAAATATGCTCTGGTCAAATGGTAGAGCTTACCTCTGCCAACTCATAAACCTTGAGTTGGGATACCAAGATTGAGTCTATTGCATGTCTCTGATTGATACATAAATCACATTAGGGAAACAAAGGTGGCTAGTCATAGTGCTGGCACACTATTTATTTGTGTGCCTAGGTCATTGAAACTGTGAACTCTACTTCATCTGCCCCATGTCTTGGGCACAAAGAGGAAAAAGATGATAGTCATCACTACCAGTAAATGTTCAAAACTGAAAAAAAATGAAACAAAACAATTATTGTTGTGAAAAATTTCATTTCTATATAAATAATAGTGTAAACTGTTGTAAATCAATTCCTGTTAGCTAATCCAACAGCTGATAGTTTTCATCCATGTCATGAATTAAAGAATTCACCAGATATTCCACAGTCGGGGCACAGCCAAGCATATCTAGGACAAGAAAATACAGCAGTCAAATACAATGGTAGAAAACAACACACAGTATTTTAATAGGTACATGACAACATAAAAATACAATGTTATTCCAATACCATCAAGTAATAAAATACAAATAATCCTAATATATAAAAGCCCAATTGCGCACTTCTGTCTTTCTCCCTCTCTCTCTGTCCACAACATTTTTGAGGTTATGTGATCAGTATGTTCAACGATATATGGAGAACTTAAAGATACAAACTTTTGTTGAAAATAATATGTTGGATGTTTTAAATGTATTAACTAAATTTTATTTAAAGAAGGAAAATTAAAAAAAAAAAGGCATATCCGAATGTAGAAACACATTTTTAATTATGCAACCAGAAAAGTGTTTATGGTTGTGACAAGAACACAAAAAACAAGGTCGTCACATGCCACATGTGCTACAGTAAGTACACAACACTAATGGCTTCATCTTCCAATTGTCGAATATGAAGACATGAACTATTTCAGTCAAATTTGATTTAGATCTAGATTTTATAAATCTACTTGTCAAGACCAAGTGCTATGAAATGTATACAATTTTTTTTGGTCAAACTAATAAAATTACTTTAAAAAACAACATGATGAACAGCCAGGTTTTTATCATAATCATTTCATTCTCTTAATCAGTGTGTGCATTTTATACGGCGTTGTGTTGACTTAATTTAATGATTTGGTTTTCATTTTTCAAATAGGTATTGTTATGTTATGTGTCGGATTTTTAGCTATTTAGTTATTTCTTTGCTTCGTCATGAATATCGATCAACATGTAGTAAAGCACATTGTGTTTTGACCAATAACTGTTTTTTAAAATATTTTTCTAAAACATGTATAACATTATAATATACAGGCCTATAATTCACGTGTAACGGGTATCGAAGGCTAGTATATAAAGAAATACCTTGAACAATCTGCCTTGGGTGTTTTTCTCCACCATGTGATAACATTTCTTTCCTGTACATCAAACCCATTGACCTGAGAATTAATGTAATGGAAGATTTCAACATTAGCGTAATGGAAGGGAGGATTTCAACATTAGCGTAATGGAAGGGAGGATTTCAACATTATGTTGTGGACATTAAACATGCAGATATGACACTTGTCACCTGTTAAAAGGATCAGCTTTGAAACATGTGTGCCAGACCTGGGCAGCCACTGCTCTAGATACCAGGTAGGCGTAATACCTGGCACCATAGCCAACCAAATGTCCAAATCTCAGCTGCCAGGCCTGGGGAGAAGCAAAAGTTAACAGGTAGACCTAGGGCAAATGGGTGAGAATAATATTGTGGATTTGATCCTGGTATCGTTGTAGTTATCAAGAAAAATAAAGACTCACTGTATCAGGCACATAATCTATGTTATAGTACTTTGATTGCAACTGTGCAAGTATTGCAGTGGTTGAGCCTTGTAATGGATGGCAACCATGATAGATCTGGTCTAGGATGGAGAAGAAAACCTGTTGCTGCATATCCTGCACAAATACAAACAGATACATCTGGAACATGGGGCACACAACTAGTGGAACATCTGGGGCACACAACTAGTGGAACATCTGGGGCACACAACTAGTGGAACATCTGGGGCACACAACTAGTGGAACATCTGGGGCACACAACTAGTGGAACATCTGGGGCACACAACTAGTGGAACATCTGGGGCACACAACTAGTGGAACATGGGGCACACAACTAGTGGAACATCTGGGGCACACAACTAGTGGAACATCTGGGGCACACAATTAGTGGAACATCTGGGGCACACAACTAGTGGAACATCTGGGGCACACAACTAGTGGAACATCTGGGGCACACAACTAGTGGAACATCTGGGGCACACAACTAGTGGAACATCTGGGGCACACAACTAGTGGAACATCTGGGGCACACAAATAGTACACAATTTTACAAGTGGTATCTTACTTACAGAAGCTGCAAACATTTTTTTAGAATCACACAAGTTGACTATGTCATTTGTTTTCATGGGTTCACCAGTTTTGTAATGACGAGCGAATGTGGTAAGTACCTGAAATAAATTGGGTAATGTTACAAGGACAGAAAAATAAAATGATGGCCTAGGGAAGCAACAGATGACCTTACCCTGGGTTCAGATGCAAAAAACTCCATGAGCACAGATGGGACCTCAGCAAAATCTGTGGGGCACCTGGTGCCTGAAACACGAATTTTGTGCTAGACATGACATCATTGATAACTTAATCTAGACATGACATCATTGATAACTTAATCTAGACATGACATCATTGATAACTTAATCTAGACATGACATCATTGATAAGCTAATCTAGACATGACATCATTGATAAGTTGATCTAGACATGACATCATTGATAACTTGATCTAGACATGACATCATTGATAAGTTGATCTAGACATGACATCATTGATAACTTAATCTAGACATGACATCATTGATAACTTAATCTAGACATGACATCATTGATAAGTTGATCTAGACATGACATCATTGATAACTTAATCTAGACATGACATCATTGATAACTTAATCTAGACATGACATCATTGATAACTTAATTTAGACACGACATCATTGATAAGTTGATCTAGACACATCATTGATAAGTTGATCTAGACATGACATCATTGATAAGTTGATCTAGACATGACATCATTGATAAGTTGATCTAGACATGACATCATTGATAAGTTGATCTAGACATGACATCATTGATAAGTTGATCTAGACATGACATCATTGATAAGCTAATCTAGACATGACATCATTGATAAGTTGATCTAGACATGACATCATTGATAAGTTGATCTAGACGTGACATCATTGGTGATCCTGACTTAATCCAAGTATGACATCATTGAATGAACCCATGCTGATTGAACTTTGTATAACCCTAGCCACAACTTACCTGTAACATGTTGATACCTTGTTCTGCCCAACATTGAATGCATAGCGTGGCCAAATTCATGGAACAGATTGTCCACATTGCCGGGACTCAGCAGTGTGGGAAGGTTGGAGTTTTGTGGGCTGGACAAGGAGAGTTGTAAGACAACAATTGGGTGTTGATAGCTTCCATCTTCCCGTCTGCGCCCTCCCTGGATAGTGTAGTGGCAGTCCTACAGAGAGCAGGCAACTCTTATTTCAAGTTCTTAACAAGTCAATTAAAATATGAGTGAGCTCCCCTTAACATAATTCTATATAATACACAATAAGGGTTGGGGTGGCACTTAGAAATGGTTGGTGAGTTGATGACAAAAACAAACAGAAGAGAAAAGTTATTAGAATCTGCTGTTTCTTGAGGATAAGATCTCAAATGATCAAATCCTGAAGGTTTTTGGGATATACCTACTGGATATCATTCCAAAGTTCATTGAAGCCTATTTATAGAATCTAATACTAAAGAATGAAATTTCATCCAATTAATGACAAACACAAAGAAATAGTTTACCCCATTCAAAAAGGTGTCAAACATAAAGATTTGTTCAAATCTTGATTTTTCCATCACTATATTTCATATAAGGTAAAAAGTTTCAGGCAAACACATCATCTCATTAACTTTTCCAGTTTGTGCTTAAGACACACCGGGAAGATGAAGTAGAGTTTATCTACTTCAGACACCTCAGCATATGAAGGGATAGTGTGGTCAGCACTTTGCCCAGACACATAGTCTTCTTCTTCTTCTTCGTTCTTAATTTTTAGTGTTGGAAGGGATCGAGCCTTATCTTCCAGAGGGTTTGAACTCGAATTTTTTTTTTCGAATTTATCAACCATGAACTTTGCCGACTCGACCATGCTTCCATCACAATTAAGCGTTATGTGTCAACTGGTTATGCGCCATTGAGGCCATTGACTCCGATTTCAGCCTTTGTCCAACCAAGAACAAACTACAAGGCAGCAGTTTTTTAATTTTGGAGTTGTCTCTCCCCAGTAGATGAGTGGCTGTCCCCAGCTAACGAGCTTCATCTGCCCGAGGATTCGAACTCGAGACTTTTCGGTTTAGCAACCATGAGCTTTACAGACTCGACCACGCCGACCCCTAGACACATAGTACCTTCATACTTCTATACCATCAGACTCACTGATTCACTCTGCTCTAATGGGTACCCAACACAGGTTGGGGATCAATATTCATGTTACAGGCCACTAGAATTTCTACAAGATGGTTCAATTTCTATCACAAGACAGGGTTCAATTTCTATCACAAGACAGGGTTCAATTTCTATCACAAAACAACAAGACAGGGTTCAATTTCTATCACAACACAGGGTTCAATTTCTATCACAACACAGGGTTCAATTTCTATCACAACACAGGGTTCAATTTCTATCACAAAACAACAAGACAGGGTTCAATTTCTATCACAAAACAAGACAGATGCAAAGAAAACCAAAGATCAAACCTGGTTAGGCTTGCCATATCGCTCAAAAAAATCACAATAAATGTAGCCTAGAACACCATCAGATTTGTCCACCACAGCCTAAAAGAAAATGTGTTCAACAACTTTATCATTTGCAATGTCTCAATTACAAAATATATCCCATCTAAGTACATATTTCTAAAAACAGTTGAAATTGGTATAGATTGTGACTAGTAAGTACACCAAAACTAATGGAACCCATTGTGGTACCAAATATTCTGTCAGTTGAGATCTGAGAAAACTAAGGTTAATATATAAGATATATATTTTCTATTTGTGTCAATAAAAAGATAGGTATTTACATATTATATACATAAATATATATATATATATATTATATATATATGTGTATATATGTATATATATATATATATATATTATATATATATATGTGTATATATGTATATATGTATATATATATATATATATGTGTATATATGTATATATGTATATATATATATATACATATATACATATATATATACATATATATATATATATATATATATACATATATATACATATATATATATACATATATATATACATACATATATATATATATACATATATATATATATATACATATATATATATATATATATACATATATATATATATATACATATATATATATATATACATATATATATATACATATATATATATATATACATATATATATATATACATATATATATATATACATATATTTATATATACATATATATATATACACATTTACATATATACATATATATATATACATATATGTATATATATATGTATATATATATATATAAGCAATAGTACACAAAACTTGCCACTTTAAGTGATAGTACATAAAACTTGCCACTTTAAGCAATAGTACATAAAACTTGCCACTTATAACACAAAACTTGCCACTTATAACACAAAACTTGCCACTTATAACACAAAACTTGCCAGTTTATAAATGTCTTGTGCCCAGGCCTCTCCCTGCTCCATCTCCACATGTTGTAAGGAGACAGCAAAGAGAGACTGAAACAGTTGATTGAGACCCTCCATCACACAGCCAAGTGAAAAGTAAGGGAGGCTATCCATGGCAGACATTGCACTCCTGTGACAACATTCATTCATCTTTCATTAGTGGATTGTTACATCCATTTTAAATCTAATCAGTTTCTTTCAATAGACTAATGCAACACTATTTTTAATACTATAAATTAAGTGATTAGAAAAAAAAACTTGCAGTTCAAAGACAATAAGTTGTAGATCTATTTTTAAAACAGTTAAATTCAACAAGCCTATAAAAAAATGCCCACAGTGGAGACCCACCTTTTTTGTCTTCCAATTGCTGTAAGATAAGGTGGATCCCAAGGCTTGATCTTCTAACCACAAATCAAACAAACATCATTAAAAAAACTTAACAAAGTCACTGATAAATATCAACAGTCAACACATAAAATACATAATTTCTATATAATGTACACATTTATAAACCTATCATAATTTCTATATAATGTACACATTTATAAACCTATCATAATTTCTCTATAATGTACACATTTATAAACCTATCATAATTTCTCTATAATGTACACATTTATAAACCTATCATAATTTATCTATAATGTACACATTTATAAACCTATCATAATTTCTATATAATGTACACATTTATAAACCTATCAACATCTTTTCAACAGGTTCCCATAAACACCAGATAAACGTATACACACCAGGCTATCGTAGAAACCAAGTCAACATAAATAACAGGTAAACTAATTGAGTCACCCCCACATCCAAACAATTAAAACTCCCACCCCCACTCACTGATCCAAACAATTAGAATCCCCCCCCCCCACCCCCACATCCAAACAATTAGAATCCCCCCCCCCCCCACCCCCACATACAAACAAACCTCATTGCTATACTTAAAGCATGATGTAAAAGAAATAGAATAAATATATTTCACCGTAGCAGATTTTTCTTGTTCTTGTTTAAGTGCCAACATCATATCATAATCCAGTTTGGTCCTAAAATTTCAAACAAGAATGCAACACACTTGTAAATAGAACCCTAAAAGATTGATTAAAAGACAGTAAAACACACTTCCATTCTTTCTTACTTTTCTATTTTAAAAGATTGAGAGCACATCATTTAAAATGTTATGTCCACCATTAGCTCAGTGACCATCTTTTCTGACCATCACTAGCTCATTGACCAACTTTTTTGACCATCACTAGCTCAATGACCAACTTTTTTGACCATCACTACCTCAATGACCAACTTTTCTGACCATCACTAGCTCAATGACCAACTTTTTTGACCATCACTAGCTCAATGACCAACTTTTTTGACCATCACTAGCTCAATGACCAACTTTTCTGACCATCACTAGCTCAATGACCAACTTTTTTGACCATCACTAGCTCAATGACCAACTTTTTTGACCATCACTAGCTCAATGACCAACTTTTTTGACCATCACTAGCTCAGAGACCAACTTTTCTGACCATCACTAGCTCAGAGACCAACTTTTTTGACCATCACTAGCTCAATGACCAACTTTTTTGACCATCACTAGCTCAATGACCAACTTTTTTGACCATCACTAGCTCAATGACCAACTTTTCTGACCATCACTAGCTCAATGACCAACTTTTTTGACCATCACTAGCTCAATGACCAACTTTTCTGACCATCACTAGCTCAATGACCAACTTTTTTGACCATCACTAGCTCAATGACCAACTTTTTTGACCATCACTAGCTCAATGACCAACTTTTTTGACCATCACTAGCTCAGAGACCAACTTTTCTGACCATCACTAGCTCAGAGACCAACTTTTTTGACCATCACTAGCTCAATGACCAACTTTTTTGACCATCACTAGCTCAGTGACCAACGTTTTTGACCCTCACACACTAACAAATTAACAACAGCTCTACTTGCCTTGACTGTAGTTTCTGGGCCAGCAACTCAAGAAAGTTGAGAATATTTTCTGTAATAAAACATAATGTCAAGATTAACCAGTTGATATACATTGGGTTGATAAACAGAGAGTAGAGTCCATATACACTGGGTAAATTAACAGAAAGTCCATATACACTGGGTAAATAAACAGAGAGAGTCCATATACACTGGGTAAATAAACAGAGAGTAGAGTCCATATACACTGGGTAAATAAACAGAAAGTCCATATACACTGGGTAAATAAACAGAGAGAGTCCATATACACTGGGTAAATAAACAGAGAGTAGAGTCCATATACACTGGGTAAATAAACAGAGAGTCCATATACACTGGGTAAATAAACAGAAAGTCCATATACACTGGGTAAATAAACAGAGAGTAGAGTCCATATACACTGGGTAAATAAACAGAAAGTCCATATACACTGGGTAAATAAACAGAAAGTCCATATACACTGGGTAAATAAACAGAAAGTCCATATACACTGGGTAAATAAACAGAGAGTAGAGTCCATATACACTGGGTAAATAAACAGAGAGTCCATATACACTGGGTAAATAAACAGAAAGTCCATATACACTGGGTAAATAAACAGAGAGTAGAGTCCATATACACTGGGTAAATAAACAGAGAGTCCATATACACTGGGTAAATAAACAGAAAGTCCATATACACTGGGTAAATAAACAGAAAGTCCATATACACTGGGTAAATAAACAGAAAGTCCATATACACTGGGTAAATAAACAGAGAGTAGAGTCCATATACACTGGGTAAATAAACAGAGAGTCCATATACACTGGGTAAATAAACAGAAAGTCCATATACACTGGGTAAATAAACAGAGAGTAGAGTCCATATACACTGGGTAAATAAACAGAAAGTCCATATACACTGGGTAAATAAACAGAGAGTCCATATACACTGGGTAAATAAACAGAGAGTAGAGTCCATATACACTGGGTAAATAAACAGAGAGTAGAGTCCATATACACTGGGTAAATAAACAGAGAGACAATATACACTTTTTAAAAAAAACAGAGAGTCCATATACACTGGGTAAATAAACAGAAAGTCAAGACACACCTGGGGATTCAATCATTGTCCCTCTATTGGCCCTCTGAGAATAAGTTTCAAATCCAACAAGATTTGCCAACCTGTGCCTAGCCGTCAGAAGAGATTGTAAGAGACTTTCTTGATGGGAATCTTCATGAAGGAATATTCTATATGCAGCTTCTCGTACCTAATCAATCAAAATTAGTCTAAACTTAATGATCAATTAAAGTTTGTCTAAACTTAATGATCAATTAAAGTTTGTCTAAGTTAATGATCAATTAAAGTTTGTTTAAACTTAATGATCAGTTAAATTTGTCTAAACTTAATGATCAGTTAAAGTTTGTCTAAACTGAATGATCAATTAAAGTTTGTCTAAACTTAATGATCAATTACATTTTGTCTAAACTTAATGATCAATTAAAGTAAATTTAAACTTAATGATCAATTAAAGTTAGTCTTAACTTAATGATCAATTAAAGTTTGTCTAAACTTAAATATCAATTAATGTTAGTAAAAACCTGCTCGTTACTATGATACATAAATGAGTCACTAAAACCATATGGCTGACAGGTTACTGACTGATGTAAGATATGTTTTAAGTCAAGGTTTCCACACTTAGATATTGAGTAGCTCTGTAGGGCTGAGTCTTAGAAAGTAGGTTTATAGATAGGTTGTCATGGTGGGTTCATGGATAAGTTGTCATGGTGGGTTCATGGATAAGTTGTCATGGGTTCATGGATAAGTAGTCATGAGTTCATGGATAAGTTGCCATGGTGGGCTCATGGATAAGTTGTCATGGTGGGTTCATGGATAAGTTGTCATGGTGAATTCATGGATAAGTTGTCATGGGTTCATGGATAAGTTGTCATGGTGGGTTCATGGATAAGTTGTCATGGTGGGTTCATGGATAAGTTGTCATGGTGAATTCATGGATAAGTTGTCATGGTGGGTTCATGGATAAGTTGTCATGGTGGGTTCATGGATAAGTTGTCATGGGTTCATGGATAAGTTGTTATGGTGGGTTCATGGATGTTGTCATGGTGGGTTCATGGATAAGTTGTCATAGTGGGTTCATGGATAAGTTGTTATGGTGGGTTCATGGATAAGTTGTCATGGTAGGTTCATGGATAAGTTGTCATGGTGGGTTCATGGATAAGTTGTCATGGTGGGTTCATGGATAAGTTGTCATGGTGGGTTCATGGATAAGTTGTCATGGTGGGTTCATGGATAAGTTGTCATGGGTTCATGGATAAGTTGTCATGGTGGGTTCATGGATAAGTTGTCATGGTGGGTTCATGGATAAGTTATAAGGTGGGTTCATGAATAAGTTGTAGGAAGTAGTTTTATGGATAAGATGCAGGAAGTAGATTTAGAGCAGGTTTACAGATAAGTTGATGGAAGTTTATGGATTAAGTGTAGGTAGTATATTTACACACAAGTTTTAGGCAGCAGATTTTTGGATGAGTTGTAGGAAGTAGGTTTTTACGGATAAGTTGTATAAAGTAGGTTTGTGTATAAGTTGTATAAAGTAGGTTTTACAGATAAGTTGTATAAAGTAGGTTTGAGGATAAGTTGTATAAAGTAGGTTTGCAGTTAAGTTGTATAAAGTAGGTTTGTGGATAAGTTGTTTAAAGTAGGTTTGAGGATAAGTTGTATAAAGTAGGTTTGCAGTTAAGTTGTATAAAGTAGGTTTGTGGATAAGTTGTTTAAAGTAGGTTTAAAGGATAAGTAGTATAAAGTAGGTTTGCGGATAAGTTGTATAAAGTAGGTTTTAGGGATAAGTTGTAGGTAGGTTTATGGATAATATGTAGGAAGTACACTTATGGATAAGTTGTAGAAGTAGGTTGATGGCTAATTCTGTCCTCTAATAGTTGTTTTTACCAGACTGCTGTAGTGATCAGAGAAGAGACCAGTGACCATTATGTTATCACCATCCAAGCCAAACCTGAAAAAATAAATTGGCTTTCTTCAGGGCTGAACAAAACTATTGGAGAGAGAGAGGGAAGCTCCAATAATGGGCAGATCAATCCTTGTCACACAAGGGCCTTAACAAAGCTGTGTAACACATCAAGTCTTACTGTATAAATTATTTAAAATACATACACACAGATGACTACCCTTCAACTAATTACAATTTTGTGGTTGGCTTCTGATAGATCCACATGCCTAGAAAATATGGCTTGTGGTGGGATGATTCTGTAGTAGAAAAATGATAGATCCACATGCCTAGAAAATATGGCTGGTGGTTGGATGATTCTGTAGTAGAAAAATGATAGATCCACATGCCTAGAAAATATGGCTGGTGGTGGGATGATTCTGTAGTAGAAAAATGATAGATCCACATGCCTAGAAAATATGGCTGGTGGTGGGATGATTCTGTAGTAGAAAAATGATAGATCCACATGCCTAGAAAATATGGCTGGTGGTGGGATGATTCTGTAGTAGAAAAATGATAGATCCACATGCCTAGAAAATATGGCTGGTGGTGGGATGATTCTGTAGTAGAAAAATGATAGATTCACATGCCTAGAAAATATGGCTGGTGGTGGGATGATTCTGTAGTAGAAAAATGATAGATCCACATGCCTAGAAAATATGGCTGGTGGTGGGATGATTCTGTAGTAGAAAAATGATAGATCCACATGCCTAGAAAATATGGCTGGTGGTGGGATGATTCTGTAGTAGAAAAATGATAGATCCACATGCCTAGAAAATACGTGTGAGATCTACCTACTACGTGTGAGATCTACCTACTACTTGTGAGGTCTACCTACTACGTGTGAGATCTACCTACTACGTGTGAGATCTACCTACTACGTGTGAGATTTACCTACTATGTGTGAGATCTACCTACTACGTGTGAGATTTACCTACTACGTGTGAGATTTACCTACTATGTGTGAGATCTACCTACTACGTGTGAGATTTACCTACTACGTGTGAGATCTACCTACTATGTGTGAGATCTACCTACTACGTGTGACATCTACCTACGTGTGAGATCTACCTACTTCGTGTGAGATCTACCTACTACGTGTGAGATCTACCTACGTGTGAGATCTACCTACTACGTGTGAGATCTACCTACTACGTGTGAGGTCTACCTACTACGTGTGAGATCTACCTACTACGTGTGAGATCTACCTACGTGTGAGATCTACCTACTACGTGTGAGATCTACCTACTACGTGTGAGATCTACCTACTACGTGTGAGATCTACCTACTATGTGTGAGATCTACCTACTACGTGTGAGGTCTACCTACTACGTGTGAGATCTACCTACTACGTGTGAGATCTACCTACCTACGTGTGAGATCTACCTACTACGTGTGAGATCTACATACTACGTGTGAGATCTACCTACTACGTGTGAGATCTACCTACTACGTGTGAGATCTACCTACGTACGTGTGAGATCTACCTACTACATGTGAGATCTACCTACTACGTGTGAGATCTACCTACTACGTGTGAGATCTACCTACTACGTGTGAGATCTACCTACTACGTGTGAGATCTACCTACTACGTGTGAGATCTACCTACTACGTGTGAGATCTACCTACTACGTGTTACATCTACCTACTACGTGTGAGATCTACCTACTACGTGTGACATCTACCTACTACGTGTGAGATCTACCTACGTGTGAGATCTACCTACTACGTGTGAGATCTACCTAGTACGTGTGAGATCTACCTACTACGTGTGAGATCTACCTACGTGTGAGGTCTACCTACTACGTGTGATATCTACCTACTACGTGTGAGATCTACCTAGTACGTGTGAGATCTACCTACTACGTGTGAGATCTACCTACTACGTGTTACATCTACATACTACGTGTGAGATCTACCTACTACGTGTGAGGTCTACCTACTACGTGTGAGATCTGCCTACTACGTGTGAGATCTACCTACTATGTGTGAGATCTACCTACCTACGTGTGAGATCTACATACTACGTGTGAGATCTACCTACTACGTGTGAGATCTACATACTACGTGTGACATCTACCTACTACGTGTGAGATCTACCTAGTACGTGTGAGATCTACCTACTACGTGTGAGATCTACCTACTACGTGTGACATCTACCTACTACGTGTGAGATCTACCTACGTGTGAGATCTACCTACTACGTGTGAGATCTACCTACTACGTGTGAGATCTACCTACTACGTGTGAGATCTACCTACTACGTGTGAGATCTACCTACTACGTGTCAGATCTACCTACTACGTGTGAGATCTACCTACTACGTGTGAGATCTACCTACTACGTGTGAGATCTACCTACTACGTGTGAGATCTACCTACTACGTGTGAGATCTACCTACTACGTGTGAGATCTACCTACTACGTGTGAGATCTACCTACTACGTGTGAGATCTACCTACTACGTGTGAGATCTACCTACTACGTGTTACATCTACCTACTACGTGTGAGATCTACCTACTACGTGTGACATCTACCTACTACGTGTGAGATCTACCTACGTGTGAGATCTACCTACTACGTGTGAGATCTACCTACTACGTGTGAGATCTACCTACTACGTGTGAGATCTACCTACTACGTGTGACATCTACCTACTACGTGTGAGATCTACATACTACGTGTGAGATCTACCTACTACGTGTGAGATCTACCTACTACGTGTGAGATCTACCTACCTACGTGTGAGATCTACATACTACGTGTGAGATCTACCTAGTACGTGTGAGATCTACCTACTACGTGTGAGATCTACCTACGTGTGAGGTCTACCTACTACGTGTGAGATCTACCTAGTACGTGTGAGATCTACCTACGTGTGAGATCTACCTACTACGTGTGAGATCTACCTACTACGTGTGACATCTACCTACTTCGTGTGAGATCTACCTACGTGTGAGATCTACCTACTACGTGTGAGATCTACCTAGTACGTGTGAGATCTACCTACTACGTGTGAGATCTACCTACTACGTGTTACATCTACCTACACCGTGTGAGATCTACCTACTACGTGTGAGATCTACCTACTACGTGTGACATCTACCTACTACGTGTGAGATCTACCTACGTGTGAGATCTACCTACTACATGTGAGATCTACCTACTACGTGTGAGATCTACCTACTACGTGTGAGATCTACCTACGTGTGAGATCTACCTACTTCGTGTGACATCTACCTACTACGTGTGAGATCTACCTACTACGTGTGACATCTACCTACTACGTGTGAGATCTACCTACGTGTGAGATCTACCTACTACGTGTGAGATCTACCTACTACGTGTGAGATCTACCTACTACGTGTGAGATCTACCTACTACGTGTGACATCTACCTACTACGTGTGAGATCTACATACTACGTGTGAGATCTACCTACTACGTGTGAGATCTACCTACTACGTGTGAGATCTACCTACCTACGTGTGAGATCTACATACTACGTGTGAGATCTACCTAGTACGTGTGAGATCTACCTACTACGTGTGAGATCTACCTACGTGTGAGGTCTACCTACTACGTGTGAGATCTACCTAGTACGTGTGAGATCTACCTACGTGTGAGATCTACCTACTACGTGTGAGATCTACCTACTACGTGTGACATCTACCTACTTCGTGTGAGATCTACCTACGTGTGAGATCTACCTACTACGTGTGAGATCTACCTAGTACGTGTGAGATCTACCTACTACGTGTGAGATCTACCTACTACGTGTTACATCTACCTACTACGTGTGAGATCTACCTACTACGTGTGAGATCTACCTACTACGTGTGACATCTACCTACTACGTGTGAGATCTACCTACGTGTGAGATCTACCTACTACATGTGAGATCTACCTACTACGTGTGAGATCTACCTACTACGTGTGAGATCTACCTACGTGTGAGATCTACCTACTTCGTGTGAGATCTACCTACTACGTGTGAGATCTACCTACGTGTGAGATCTACCTACTACGTGTGAGATCTACCTAGTACGTGTGAGATCTACCTACTACGTGTGAGATCTACCTACGTGTGAGGTCTACCTACTACGTGTGACATCTACCTACTACGTGTGAGATCTACCTACTACGTGTGAGATCTACCTACTACGTGTGAGATCTACCTACTACGTGTGACATCTACCTACTACGTGTGAGATCTACCTACTACGTGTGAGATCTACCTACTACGTGTGAGATCTACCTACTACGTGTGAGATCTACCTACTACGTGTGAGATCTACCTACTACGTGTTACATCTACCTACTACGTGTGAGATCTACCTACTACGTGTGACATCTACCTACTACGTGTGAGATCTACCTACGTGTGAGATCTACCTACTACGTGTGAGATCTACCTACTACGTGTGAGATCTACCTACTACGTGTGAGATCTACCTACTACGTGTGACATCTACCTACTACGTGTGAGATCTACATACTACGTGTGAGATCTACCTACTACGTGTTACATCTACCTACTACGTGTGAGATCTACCTACCTACGTGTGAGATCTACATACTACGTGTGAGATCTACCTAGTACGTGTGAGATCTACCTACTACGTGTGAGATCTACCTACGTGTGAGGTCTACCTACTACGTGTGAGATCTACCTAGTACGTGTGAGATCTACCTACGTGTGAGATCTACCTACTACGTGTGAGATCTACCTACTACGTGTGACATCTACCTACTTCGTGTGAGATCTACCTACGTGTGAGATCTACCTACTACGTGTGAGATCTACCTAGTACGTGTGAGATCTACCTACTACGTGTGAGATCTACCTACTACGTGTTACATCTACCTACTACGTGTGAGATCTACCTACTACGTGTGAGATCTACCTACTACGTGTGACATCTACCTACTACGTGTGAGATCTACCTACGTGTGAGATCTACCTACTACATGTGAGATCTACCTACTACGTGTGAGATCTACCTAC